CGAATTCGGTACGGGTGAGCCAAACGTGTGGTCAGTGAAGTAAGGTGTATGCTTTCGTTTTTTACCTTCTTTCCGCGCTATGCCACAGAGCATCCAGTCGCCAAGTTAGATGTAGTCTCATCTTCAGGGCAACAGCAACAGCAGCTGCAACAACAGCAGTCAATTCCCCCAGTTTCATCCTCCAGTGGACAGCAGAGACATACGCAGGACGACGCAAGCCGTAGCGCCCTCGTTGCCTCCCGTCGGATCACCGGTGCTGTCGCCGCCGCTGTGCCTCAATCACCCTCCTTCTCTTCCGGCCTCCATCTTCCCTCCTCCGCTGCCAATGCTGTGTCTACTGGTGGTGAATCTGTTGGTATTGCCTCAGGGAGAGTGAGTTGTGGGGCTCCCTTATCAAAATTACGTTTTTATTTTCCATTTCATTTTACCTTCTTAATCGTCTGAAAACTGGCCACCATTCATTCTGCATTGCTTTGAAAATTCTCTCTTCCTTAAAACATTTCCTATGTTGCCAGTCTTCCGGTCTTGCGCTAATTCTCTTTCTCTCTGTCAGTTTGCGTTTGACTAACTAACTTTGGAATTTACAAAGAATTTCGTATCGCTTTGATGAACTCCTAAACTGTGTTTTCGGCATTCCGACCTGTCTTACTGGTCACAGGGAAACAGTTTTTCTAGAAATGCACGGTCCTGAAAAATGCCAACATTTCTACCAATGACTACACCCCATGGTCTTTTATTCGTCGTCTCCTGCCGTCTGATACCCATCTTCAGATTCAAGGGGAATCTTTGAGCTTTGGAGATTACTCTGCTTAAAGTGGCTCAGTAATTGTTCTTGTCAGTAATCAACACTTCTCCTTTTCTGGAAGGCTGAGTCAAACAAGCCGCCATCACAACTCCTCCCAACTACTGTTGAAGTGGCTCCCTCTCCCCAGCAGTCCCAGCTGTCACAGCAACAACACGAGGAGACGCCGGAGGTGCATGTCTACAAGAAGCGCTTCAACTCGGAGATCCTCTGCGCTGCTATGTGGGGCGTCAATCTCCTCATTGGTCTTGACACCGGGCTTTCCCTTCTTGACCGGTCTGGCGAGGGGAAAGGTAAACGTAGTTTCCTCCTGTACTATTATTTTAATTGCCCAAATGAGGCAATCACTTGTTTGAAGTCAAATTCAATGGTTGTAACTTGAAGTAATTTGCATGGTTTTGATCATTTCGACAGGCATTTTACCTCTTTTGTTTACTTTTCATTGTCGCTAGTTTACGTTGTCTCCTCTGACAAGTTGAGTAAGAACGTGAGATTCACCGCCAATTAGCAGGTTTTAAAAATGGACAAGTAGTGGTGCCATCCAATCCGAAGCACAAGCTATGGAGTCCAACGCCTTGCGAAGGTGGATTCACAGTTTTAAAGGTGTCACAAATGGTGGTAGTTGGATCGGCCACTGCTCCGGATTGATAGTTTTGAACACAACCTAACACTTCATTTAGCATTGTTGTCAAGTCACCCACGTTCGAATAATTTACTCGGCCCTCCGTCCGCGTCATCA